GTAAACATGTTAACATACAGTACACAGAAGCTAATTGAAAAATACTCTGATTCTGGAGAGTATGAGTCACATTTAAAGGAGCTTTATGCGATATTCAGAGCGTATTTATGATTCAGGGGTTGTCTCCACATGGCTCTCAACATGGCTGAGGCGGCAGCTAGCAGCTAACGGTGTTAACAATGTAACCAGTGCTAACAACGGCAACAGTGCTGACAGAGCTAATGGTATTAACCAGGGGGGAACCGGAGGGTGGGCTCGACGCTGCCCTGATATAACTGGTAACTGTATGAGCGCAGTGCAGAGCAGCAGCAATTGGTGAGTCAGTTGGACACAAACATGGGACCATCTACCACAACAACCCACAGTGAAGCTTGTATTACAACACACACAGGAGTAGGGTGACTTTCATGGATGGGCACAGGCCCAGGGGGCAAATTCAATTTCTTTCCAGAAATCATGACCCAATTACTCAAGATAATTCACAGACCTTGTTGTGAGCATGGATGTATTAAGACAGTGGTTTCTTGAGGGCCCCCCCCCCCCCCCACACACACACACACACACACACACACCCACACCCACACACACCCACACACACACACACATACACACACACACACACACACGTTACCCATGCCCGTATCCTCACGATACACATTTAAAAAAATGTCTATACTTATTTAATTAATGAATAAGCTTTTAGTATAACCCTTAAATGTATTTGTTTTTTACACATAAATGAATCAAATTTTGACACATGACACATTAAAATTATGACACTACTTTAAATTAAAAGGGCTTTGCATCCCCCCATGACTCTTTGGCGCCCCCCTAAGGAGGTCGTGCCCACCATTTGGGAAGCACTGTATTAAGAGACCTGAGCACTTTTTAGACAGGAATTGTGCAAATTTGCAAGAAAGCCCAATCAGTCTTCTTTCAGCGTTGGTAGTATAAAAGCAAAATCGGGGAGTGTGGCAAAATGCCGCCTACCTGCTTTTGTTTATACAGAATGTGCCTTTTCGGGGCAATGGGGGACGTGAGCAAGTAACAAAATGTGTAGCTCAGTGTGTGACGTAAACAGTGACGTGGGAGGGAAGCCACGGCTAGTCAGGCGGTGATTCTCTCGTAAGTCATGCCGTTCTTCACCGTCCCCGTCATTTGACGGTTAATGGCCTCTTCGTTTGCGAGGGCAAGGAGGGCGTGCAATTCTTTGTCTCCTCAGTTGCTCATCTTTATAGTGTCTGTCAGGTTTGCGTTTCCCTCTTGCTACTAGCTGCTCGCTAATTCCTGCTATCAGCTGTTTCCTGTTTATCCACCACCAGTGGCTCGCATGTGCAGCGTCATCAACAGCTCCTCCTGTTGCAGAAGGGCGCCTCGGTCTGTTTAAACTAAAAGGGTTCTGCCAATATGTCTACCCTACGAGGCTGCAAATTGGGCACCTCGGATCAACTCGCCAATCCGGCTCTGTGTGTCTAAACACTCGCAGCTTGCCGGCAAAACGGCCTAACATTCGCAGAAAATCTGGCAGTGTAAAAGGGTCTGGATACCGCGTTGAAGGTGGGACACCGTTCATTCCTATGAAAGTTGCTCAGTGGCGCATGAAGCCAAAAAAGCTCTATTTCCACGGTATGAAATCACCCGGATGTTCAGTGGGATCAATACCAATCCCGATGCTGTGGCTTTGAGTATCAGCCGATAACCTATACCGATACCATGGTTGACCTAAAAAGCTATATACCTTTACATGTAGAACAGAAAAGACTAGAGGCATCAGGCATTGATGATTACACAGTTCTTTCCTAAGATAAAATGAAACAAGATGAAACATTTTAATGCAATGATGAACTACAAAATAGTTCATCATAGTTCTGAAATAGTGTGAAATACCTCCACACGGCAGATTCTCTCCTTCACTCCATGATATATGACGTAGCTGGCATCACAATAGATTTAAAGGGAAAGGATCACCTCAGGTATAGGTTGCATTTTCCGATACCCGATCCATCTGTTTTGATGATCTCAGGGCCGATATTTGATCCAGATATCGGATCGGTGCATCCCTAGTTTGGCCACTAAGAAAATTGGCTCCAAAGCTCAGCGCACATCGAAGGGGACTGGTTGTGAGCAGTTTCATGTAGGAACTACTAAAAACACCAACCAGATCACCGCCCAGAAGGAAGTGTGCATCTGCTGTTGTATAGTATAGAGAGAACTGGACCCAAAAGTGTGACTTAGACAGCTGTTCAGTTTAAAGTGGTTTTACTTTCAAAAAAGCCAGAAGGTGTGTCTTGGGTTGATCCAGGGCACAAACAGGGCAGGCAGGCTGAGCAGGGCTGGAAACAAGCTGGCAGGCTGGAGTGGAGGGCAAACGGGTGACCGGTGAGTGTGGATCACAAGGTAGACTGAACAATCTGTACTGCTGGGGTTGATGATTAGTGGATGGCTTTCTGGTGAGCAGGCAGATTGGCAGCAGGACTGATGAGAGCCACGCCCAGACACAGAGAGAGACAAACAAGAGGCACAAGAAACAAAGGGGAGGGAGGGAAACAGCTGACACATGTATTTTTGATTTGGGGTTGAACTGTCCCTTTAATGCTCTCAGTATTTCTGGCAGCGAGACAGCATCTGTGAGATTGAATCAAAATAAACTCCAGAGCCCATGTTTATTATAATACACAAACATGTCACCCTGAGCACTGGTGTGGCTCACTGATGTGTTTTTAATAGTTTTAATCTGTGTGCTCTGAGGGAGAGTGCTCAGGAGATGGCTCTCCGTTAAAGGAGAGAGCCAGGGGAGGGAGGGAGGGAGGGAGGAGGAGTTCATTGTCCACAGGCTGCACCACCTCCCTCTGATCTGAGCGCCTCAAGAAACAGGACATGGAAATTTCTAATTCTGCCAAGGTGTGTGTGTTTGTGGGTGTCCGTGAGCAAGAGAGAGGCCTCGATGTGAGACTGCATATAAGGAGGTTTATAAAAAAAAAAAAAAAGAGCGAGCTACTCTGAACTCCCCTGAGGTGCAGTTTGTGTATGTGCGCGTACACAAATGTATGTGACCTGCATACAAATCTGTGTCTGGTAACCCATCTGCCCGCGTGCTTAATATTCCGTCATGAGTGCCAGCCTGTCTCCGTCTGTTGACCAGTGTTGAGAGGCTGCAAGGATGTAACATGGAGGCCTTCAGGCATCTACTACAAAATATTGTTCTGCTCAGGAGGTAGGCCTGAGGCGGTTAAATCAAGCATCATCATAGGCTCTTTATTCCCATTCATTCTCCGTGCACTGGACTTAAGAGCTCTCTGCTGTAACAGGCGGCATCAGCGCTTGTGGAAACAGGGTTACAATCAGCTATCATGTTACTCATTTATTTAGGGTTTTAGCCTCATGGACATATGTAAGGTCACTACAACAGTCTGTTATGATGTTCAGAACAGATTAGGGGAGACCTGGGATGGTTGTGAAATTTTCTTAATTTCTGTTTGTATCTTGGAGCTCTTTGAAGCCAGTGTTTTCAAAACGTGTTACTACATGTGTCTGCTTTAAAAAGGGGTAGCTGTTCTGTCTGTAACACAAGCATAGTTTGGTGAGGGAAATGTTACAATTCACTCCATAGTCTGGGTTAGTTGTAACATAGCCTGGGGTGAAATGTTACGTTATGAGAAAAACTGAAAGAAACAGTGTGTAAATGTGTGGAGATTTAGTGACATCTAGTGGTGAGGATTGCAGATTGCACCCAGCTGAAACTTCTCCCAATTAGGATTCCTTCAGTGGTCATTGTTCAGGAGGTTTTTACCAGGAGCTGAATTATCCACAGAGGTCTCTTCCTCTCCAAAACAAACTGACCAGGTGATTAAAACTGATAAAAACGCTGAAAAAAGCAGTTTCACATGACAAATAACTGTTTCTTCTCAGCTGTTCGGCACGTCACAATCAGGCTGCTCACCCAGTGCCTAATAAGTGTACTCACCTTATTTCTGATCCAGATTATCCGCAGAGATCTCCTACTCTATAAACCGACCAGGGGTCTCATTTACAAAACAAGACCTGAAAGAGGCGAACGCCACTTCCCACGGAAAATCTGTGATCAATAAAAACAGATATGATGGGAGAAACTTTGACCCATGCACTTTGGAGACGTGACATTGGCGACGCAGACTGTGAGGTGGCAGCCTGATTGTGTAAATTGTCACCATTTTTGGCTTTTATCTGTACACACATTTTAGTATGGCTCCTATGCACTGTTTTATAAATGAGACTCCAGGTGATTTAAACTGAAAAAAGCAGTTTTGCGTTACAAATCAGTGTTTCTCTGACGCTGTTTGGCATGTTAGAGACAGCCGTTAGCCTAGCACCTGCTAACGTGTGCTCACCTTTTTTCTCTGATAACTTAAGATCCAGACGTTCAAGAGCTTTTTACCAAGAGCTGAATTATCCGCAGAGGTCTATTCCTCTCCAAAACAAATAGACTTTGTGAATGAAACAGCTGAAAATGCTGTACAAAGTGGTTTCACGTTACCAAACAGTGTTTTTCCAGTGCAGTTCAGCTTGTAGCACATGGGCAGTTAGCCCAGCACCTGCTAATGTGCGCTCACCTTTTTTCTCTGATAACTTATGATCCAGATGTTCAGGAGGTTTTTACCAAGAGCTGAATTATCCGTAGAGGTCTCTTCCTCTCTAAAGCAAATGGACCTGATGATTAAACCTGTAAAAACACATTTTAAAGCAGCTTCACGTTACAAATGAGTGTCTCTCGGACATTGTTTGGCATGTCGGACATGGCTGTGACAACCCCAGCTTTCAAGAGCATTTAACCGTGAGCCATATTCTCTGTAGAGGTCTTTTCCGCTTCAAAACAAACATACCCAGTGATTTAAGTTTTACATTTCACATTTTTCAGATGCTGCTTGTCACCAAGGGGCTTCTAGGTATTCCTTGAAAATGTGAAAATGCAAATGGCTCTATCTAAAGCCAGTGTTTGGTTTGTCTGTTTTTGCCTACTGTAGAATCATGGCGATGCTACATGGCGATCTCCGAGGACGAGGACCTGCACCCTGTGTAGATATAAACGGCTCAATACAAGGTAACGTAAACATGACGATCCTTATTTTCAAGAGATGATACACTAATGAATACATACTTATTATATTATATTCCATTTCTGCCAATATATCCCCCTAAACCCTACACACACACATTTTTTAACATAATTAGGACGTGTGTGTGTCTGTGTTTGTCTCTTCAGTGTGTTTGTCCTGCACTCTTGTGTGTGTGTGTGTTTGCCTAGTTGGCTGTCAGTGTGTTTGTGCTCGTCTGACGGAGAACCTGAAAGTGTTACAAGTCTCTCATGTTCCCACCACCCCCAGTCTCCCCTAATGGTGCATCTGTGTGCATCATCTGCGTGTGTTTATTAAGAGGCGAAACATTTGGATTCAAACAAGCAACGCACGCCGAATCAAACATTTTCCAGCAATACTCTCTAATTCAATAACCCAGCATGAACTCAGATCCTGGTGACACTGAACCAAAACAGCAATTGAATCCCCTTTTTTCCCTCACATCCCTCTCTCTTCCCCCCGCTACTTGAAAAACTGAAGCACATATCTCGGTGTCATTTACCGCTTTCCGTCTCTTTACCCCCAGCTGCGATACGCTCCCAGAGAAGACTGCTTTCCTTGCATTTTGATGTGCTCCTCCGTCACATAATTGGGGGTTTTCTGGGAGCTCTGGCTTTAAAGGTTTGTCCCCTGTTATCAGCGCTAATGAGAAAATGAGTAGCGTTAGGCTGATATGTTCTAGAGCAGCACTGGGAGTTTATTTTGTGCTGTCTGTAAATAACACACAATAGAGTCCGATTTGTACCTTAATAAAGATAAGTGTTTTCTGTCTGCTCTTTTCATCTTTTGTCCTCTGTAGAGTAAAATGCATTTGAGGGGAAGTATTTTACTGTGTTTCTTTTTAAGACACACATTTTGTCGTGTGCCTTTACAACACTGTTAAACAATTTTGTCTTTTAAGGAGATTCCCTGAGTTATTTACTCTGGCAGCAAACTGAGCAAGCAGCCCAGCCGTCTATCAGTCGCCTCCTTCTGTCCAAAAATACTCCGACGCTTTGACTGACGACGGAACAAGATGTTCCCATCTTTCGCCATTTTAAACTCTCAATACATAATTACATGGATTGTCACCAATTTATCCAAGCTTTCATCTTTTCCCTCTTTCACCCCGTCAGCTGTTTTTTTTTTTTTTTTTTTTGCCTTGACAGGGCAGCTGGTTGCATTGTATCATCTCAACGTCTCGGCTCGCTGCATGTACAAACCTTTTTTGGCAACTACAAGCAGCCCAGCCAGCCAAGAGAGGCTTTTGTCGACTCCTTCCCAGTCTGTATTAATATTTACCAGGCTAGGAAACAGAGGCAGATGTCAACCATGAGGCGATTCCTCCGTGTTGCGCGGTGGTGAGCCCGCTCTTGTTCTGGATTAAAGCTTAATCCAAGCATCAGATTTGTGGTGGTAAAACATTTTGTACAATTGCGAGGAAGGGGGGGGGACTCCCCACGTCTTTGGCTCCTGCAGAAGTGGAGAATTCCTCGATAGCCGAGATGAATGTTTCAGTAATGCAATAAGAAGAAGACATTAACCAGAACGTTTGTTATTTTTATGCAATCCCATTTGACCCCTATACATATGGAAGATGAGCAGTTTAGTCAAAGTGCACGGCATTTTGGCACTTAACCGGAACACACTGCATTTGTACACATAATCAAACAAGCAAAAAGACAACCCACACACTGATGGAAGAACAGCAGGGATTATAACCCAGTGGCCAGTTGTATGTTCCTGCAAACCACAGATATTTTACTCTTGTACATTTCATACGAATCACATCAGTGTTTCTAAAGTGACGTAGTTTATGAGCTGACTTGGTTACCTGGAGGTGAAGGAGATCGTGGCTAGTGTGTCACTTAAGCCTATTTCACATTACACGATTTTCACCCTGATTCTGCGTCACAGAGACTATCATAATCTTTTGAGTGTTCATACCTTGCGACGTGTGTTTCTGTCATTGGGAGTCTCGCCAACTGCGCTACAACCTGTGTGTGCACACCACAAGATTTCTCCACCGAGCCCTCGCTGACAGAGCCCCAGATAAGGCGATGACGTCACCAAACTTGGAGACGACACATCGTAAAGGCATGGATATTCTTCCCAGTGTTGAATCAGATCTGCCTCCAGGGCCTGGGTCCAAACACAACGCGCTCCCTGACCCCGTGACGCCGCCATTGTTGTTGTTGCTTGCCGGCTCGTCAATGTTGCCAGATCTTGGGAGAGAAACAAGCAACCAGGGCTATGGAAACAAGCCCAAAAGAAGCGACTATCATGCATTTAAATAACTTATTAGACGGATATATATAGAGGAAGGTGACGGTTAGAGAGCAAGCCCAAATAAGCAACTCCACTTTAGAAACAAGCCCAAAAAAAACTCCTGCAACTCATGACTACCAATATTTGTAAGTGACTTTACAAAAAACAAGCCCAAAGTCGTGGCTAATAAGCAGACGTGGCAACCCTGCGGCTTGGACTCCTCACATTTCTTCCATCCTCCTGCGTGCTGACGCGGGACGTATCCCGCCTCTCACTGGCTGATGCTCTTTGTCAGTTGTGTCACACCTCTCCAGTTTTCTAGCATTCTAGGGCCACTTGTTCGTAGGCTTGTTCACACATGGGGACTCATCGTGGCAGACTATCTGCCGACTCACCTCCGACCCAAGGTGGCAAAATCGCGGTGAAATAATGTAACTTTAAGTGAGACGCCTGCCAAGCTGCAGACGACTGCAGACGACTGTTCAAGAGCAACAAAACTTGTCGTGTTTTAGCGTCCCGTCGATGTATTTCTAGTGGCTTTTAAGCAGCAAACGTGAGTGTTTTTTTTTTCTTTTACCGAGACATAACTGAGTTTCCTGCCGAGATAGTGCCATGAAAAGCAGGTATTTTAAGCTTAACACAATCAAGTGGTTGTGTGTGTGTAACCACACATTCGGTACAATGGACAACCAAGAAGTGCAAAGTGCAAAGAAACAGCAGCGAATGTTTCAGTCCAACACTGTGCAACACTGTGTTTCATTTGTCTGGGAGACTGTATGAATCGATACACACTCTCATGTACACACATGCTGCAATACTCTGTGTGTTAAATGTGGTACAAGACTGTGTGAAGATAAAATGGCACTAAAATGCATTAAAACCCAACCTGGTGATTGAGTCTGGATTTCAGCACCGGACAGCTCCTGAGTGGCGTTCAATGCATTGAGTCTGTTGAGTGTTAAAACCCACAAGAACAGGGTAAACCAAGGTATTGTGCTTTCATAAATTCTGACCTTAAAGCCCAGTTCAGAACCAAAGATTTGCGCCGAGATGAGTTGAAACAGGCAACTACTTGCAATGCTCCGTTCTGCAACGTTGAAAAAACCTGCCGGTTCACACCAATGCAACTAGATGAGATGGTGTATCATCTCTATGCAACAACTCTGTACTTCTGTTCTGTTTGCAGCTTTTCAGGCTTATTTTGTGTCAGAATATAATGTATTATTTAATTTATTATATAATGGGAATGTGTGTGGGCGGAGCATAAGCACATATAACTAGCAGCAGCAGCAGTGACCCAACGGTGGGGATGGAGCACCTGCCACAGCAAGCGACACGCCGTCTGCGGTCATTTTGACTTGACCAGCGGACTTCACTACAAGTCAACTAGCTGTAGAAACAGGTGATAATCTTTACGTACTAAAACCAGCCACTGGCGATTTGACCAGCTGAGTTGCAGGTGACACCATCAGCAGTCATGTCACACCGCTGCAGCTTCTCTCTGCAAAGTTTTAAAACACTTTTGTCTCGTTGCAAATCTTTGGTCTGAATTGGGGTTTAGTCTCATGTAGGCTGTAAGTCAAGCTCCAAAACATGCTGCATCCTACATTTCCCATAGTGCATTCCCATGATACATTCCCATCGGAGTCTTCATTCGACCCTCATGCCTTTTAAATGCCCACTTTTTTCAAACGCCAGACTTTAAGTTGGTGATGCCCGCATTTTATTAAAGGTTCTGAGCATTTATACAGCAGCAAACCACTATTGTGAAGATATGATGGAGTAATGGCACCCTGAGCAGAGACTAAAAGTCATGCTACCTCTTTATGTTTCTGCAATCTGAGCTTCTCTGTTGTTTGTTGTTGTAAGCTGGTCCGGCTGCACATGTGTATCCCGCTGGCTAGCTCATTGCTGCAGCTTTGCACTGCGCTCATATGGAGGTTACAGCTGATATCGGAACGGCAGTGTCGCAGAAGCTTAGCACCCACCCTCTGGTTCCCTCCCCTGGTTAACACCGTTAGATCTGTTAGCACTGTTGCCATGGTTTAGCACTGTCTATGGAGCCAGCTCAGCCACTTTCATGTTGAGAACCGTGTTCAGACAGCTCAGGTTTTTACACAGAGCTCCTTTAAAAATGCTGGTATCCCAAGCTAAGATAACCCTAATGACATCATCAGGATTATCTATAGTTTAACCACACTGAAATATTGACTTACTGGTTGTATTTAGAGGCTGGTTGGAAACTGCAGCCCTGTTTTTGTTTTTATCCTGAGACATATAAAGGCTACAGAGGAGATGTGATGTTGAAATGCACACTGCTCAGTGCTTAATGCCACTGGAGGTTTGAAATCGTGTTCAGCTACTGAAAACCGCCTGTTACAATATTTTCACCCACAACTATACAAAATTAAAAAGGGAAGAAGCAGATGACACCCCGCCCAATTCTGCTGGGATTTCCCCACAACAAAGAGCTTCCAAAACTTTCTACATGGAATTCCTCGGAGGGGGGCGAAGACGGATGCAGCTCTTTTCCAGTCATATGCTAATTTGGGCTTACACTGATTAAGCTGTCCATCGTACCGCCAGGAGACCTCTGCGTATGTGTGATCCACTGTGTGACTGAGCGTATGTGAGCAGAATCGCTAAAGCTTGAGGGGACACCGTCAGCAGTGGCAGCGATTCGCAGGGAGGACGACATGACAGAGGTGCGGAGAGCCAG